GTTCTGGCTTTGAAAGCGCCTGGATAAGAGAGAATGTGAAGGCCGTTTCGGAAGAAGAACGACGTTTCCTTCACGAACAAAAAAGCCATAGGACTGGCACAAAACTAGTTGTAGCGCTTCAGATTGGAGATCAAGCGCAGAAGCGGCTACCGCACTGGTCTATATCACTCGTCAACTGTCTCACGGAGGACCACAGGGTCCACCTCGCGGCTCCAGGTGGACCGCTCGGTAGCAGAGGAGCCCGTCGCTCGCACCCGAGAGAAGCACACACGCAGTTACCGAGCTATCCAAACGATGATATGGTGAAGCAAACAATGTCGCAATTTGTACTAAAACATGCCCACGGGCAAATTCAATGCTCGACATCGACCGAGCTGTCTCATCAGCCGACACTTGACTTACCTACGGAAGTCCTACATAGCTGGGCACTGAAGCATAAATAGGGGAACATGCCGAGCTATTCATTCTGCAGCCTACGGGCAAGGCACTCTCGGATCTCCTAAAATGGAGTCCACAGAGCACGACAAAAGCTCCTGGGCCAGTTCGCCGAAGAACCCCATGATACCATCCTTGGCCCCGCGTTATTCGGTAACGACGATCTGGAAAACAACTAAGAGAGTCCCAATACCTTCCTCTCATTGAGAGATACCTGGCGAGAGTCCCTTAATTCGGCCGCAAGTACACCACGGTGATCGGAGCCGTCAGTGGCATGGCCCTCATCTTTGGCTTTACTGGCTTCAAGACGCGAGCTCAAAACGCGGGAATCAGCTGTGCCCGTAGCAAGTGCTCCGTGACAATGTTTCCCTATCACCGATTGGCTGTGGCCAGATTGCTGCATGGCCGTATACTACAGCACTCTATGTACCTACACAGTCGAGGTCTTGCCCTCGTCCCACTGCACAACGGGCAACGGGCTCGCATCATCGTGCAATCGCATCATGGACATTGTGTCTGCCTTTGTAGCCTCTTCTGGAAACACCTCCAACTGGGGTCCTTCTCCGGGGGGGGGGCAGCATTTTTTCGGCTGTTTGGATCCCGCCTGCAGCCGTGTTTCCTTTTGACCCC